TGTCTTGTTTATAACATATTTGTGTCCTTTTCTGCAAAATCTTATCTTGAGATGATTCGGATGGGAACAAGTATGGAACACTCTTAGTAAATTTCTATTTGTTCTGCCTACTCTTTTTAAATGAAGGTTTCTCTTGTGCAGCACTTTCAACTGGAAATTCATCTGGCGCCTACAAAATCCCTAAGAAATGAAAAATGCTTATGATGCAGTTCACACTGCACAATTGAGACCGCGAAGAGCCTCTGTTAATTCAAAATAAAGTAACATTTAATTCATTCAAAAAATATTATTAATTATGCTTAAGTGAAATATAATAAAGTAAGGATATAATTAAAAAAAAATATACATATATAACCTATCGAAAATTTGTATTTTAGACGAAGTAGGATTTATAAAAAAAAATTCTTTTTATTGTGATATTAGAGCGCAAAAAGGAATTTAATTATGTAACATGAGCATAGTAATGGAAGCCACGGTGGTTGGCCGACAGTGCTTCAGGCTCCATGATCTTGATTGGTGGATTTTCTATTTAAAAAAATTAAATAAACCATTATTTTAATCATTTTTAGGGAAAAAATAATTTCAATTTATTTCCTTAATCCTGCAATATTATTTTAGATTTCATTAATTTTAATTTCAAATAAAATCCTACCATGATTCTTACTGACATTCCCCCATAAAAAAAGGTAGGAAAATAGATCTGTGATGAGTCTAATACGTCAATAAATTTGGAGGGCACCAAAATTTGTCCATTTCTGCCCTTAACATTATATGCTACCTGTGGGGAACTAATCCTCTCAGCATCTCATGTCTGAGTGTCTTAAAATCCTCCCCGTTTAAATAATCAGTAGACTCATAATATAAACTAGTTACCATCATAAGGCTTTCAAAATGGGAGAATGACAGTAAAGTTTTAAAAGAAGAAAATTAATGAGAACTAAATTCTCAACAAAATTTTCAAAAATGAGTGTTGTAAATATTAATGGGAATTTCAATTACAAACTAAAAAAACTACATTTAGAAATTTATATTCTCTTAGGAACTTCTGAATTTGAAAATTATTTGAATTAACATTTGCAATTTATTGTCAAAAAAAATTATCATAGATCTAACTATCATTAGTTCCCTCTTTTAGTCTTTTGGGACTTAACTATCATTTTCCTTTTAAAAAATCTCTATGAACTGTGTATAGTCTATTTTTAAAATTTCAGTGCTATTGTTTTTAATTTATTATATTTTGAAAAATCATATGGTCCTGCAGTTAAAAAAGTATGAGACACACAATAAAAACAGTAATAGATACCTAGGAGCACTTGGTTCGACTAGTTGAGGGGGAGTTAAATAATTTATTTTAAAATTTTAAGTTCAAGGTCCTGATATGTGCAATCACCTTAAAT